GAGCCGGGTCAGCAAGATTCCCAGCTCCCTCCGGATCGAGCCGGCTGCCGGCACAAGGGGTGGTGGGAAGCAGCCTCCTCCCCCGGGAAGCCAGGGCAGCTCTGCACCAGTTCCCTGCGAGGACAAGGAGACACTCGGACCAGCGTGAGCTTAAAAAAATAGGCATTTTTTTTTCTTTTTATTCAAATGTAACTAGAGAATTATGACCCAAGAGAGGAGAGATTACTCACATTTATCGATACACTTATTAGATTACTGCCTAAATAGCTGTGCTTGAGCAGCGCGTTTGTCCATCTCAAGGAGAAACAGAGAAGGGAGGATGCTGCATCCGAGACCTCATCGTCCTTGGTGGCATGGGGAGCTCTGAGCAATGCGGGTTGGGGCGCTGTATCACGTCACCTAATCATTCCTGTCTTCACTATTTACAGCTTCTGGAGAGCACTGGGAGGCGAACGCTGGTAACGCTGCCCTGGCTGCATGGCTCTGCTCGCGCCGAGGTGCCCCTTGCCTGCACGGCGCTGCCCGGAGAGGGACGCGCTGGCCATGCAGGCTGCGCCGGGGGTGGAACCCGGCTCCCCTTGCAAGGGGCTTGAGGGGAGGGCTCTGCGAGTGGCACTTCTGTCCCCCAGGGGCACAAGGGCGCCCACCTCGTCCCCGGCTACTGCCAGGGCTGCGACGGGGGAGCCGTGGTGGGAGCGCCCGGCTCACGCGTAGCCGGGGACGTGCCATGCAGCCAGGCTTGGCGTCCCCGTTAATGTTCAGCTGCCTGAATGAAGCCGGAGTGGAGGGGGGCCGTGCAGGAGAGCCGGGTTAATTAGCGGTGCCGTTCGCCCTAATGAGGCCATTGCCAGTGACTTACGCAAGGAGCTCTCACTGGGCACCGATGTGCCCGCTGGGCCCAAAGCGCGCGTGGATGAAGCAGTAGCGGGTGATGCAGGTTTGCCCTCACAGGCAGCAGTCAAGGGAGGATTTAGGGGGTGCCTAACAACCCTCCGTTCAGCAGCTATGGAGGACACGTCTCCCCCGGGCAGACGTGGCTCTCGGGAAGCTCCGGCTCTCATGGCAGCTCCACTAGGCCACTATGGGGGTGTCAGAGAAGACAGAGCTGATGGACTCCGAGTCGGACTTGAGCTGCAGCACCTTGGGGTGCTTGGCGTCGGGGAAGTCTTCGCCGAGGGCCAGGCGGATCTTGCCGTTCTGCGTCTCCCTGATGGGCTCCAGGAAGACCACGTGCTTGTTGGCGCTGGCCTTGCGGCTGGGCCCCTCGGTGGCTGGCGGCGTGGCGCTGAGGATGGAGGACTGGGCGCTGCACTCCTGCGGAGGGCTCCGCGGGGCCGCCTTCCTGCCGCATTTCAGGCAGCGGCACGGCGTGAGGTACAGGTAAATGAGCACCAGCAGCAGGCTGGCGATGCAGCCCAGCAGCGTCGTGAGGCCGGTGCTGAAGGTCTCCCCGTCGGGCTTGGGGTAGTGGACGCTCACGTTGACCTCGCACACCCTGCTGAAGTTCTGGGGGCTGGTGATGGCCAGGCACACGTAAACCCCCGAGTGCCAGGGCTTGGCCGCCGGGCTGTTCAGGCTGCCGGTGATGGCGCCG